CACTCTCATATCAGGTGAGGTATCTATCAGCTGCCCTTGAATGTATGAATGGATGGAAGATTCACGGTCACTTAATCAGGTGATTCATTCCTGAGTCTCTTCCATGATTCTGGAACCATATGAATTCCAGATGTCCATACATCTAAACCTAAACATGGCATTCCTTGATTAGGATTCATGATTCTCCCTTATTTTTTGTTTCTGTGACACTTTTGCCCTAAACATATTCTGGTTTAGAGGAAATCTTTGTCTTTGGTGACCCTCTGGCCCATAGGAACCAGCTTAACATCTCTAAACAGATTAAGGAGCACACATTAAGTAGCAAGCCCTCTCAGCCTCCAAATATTACCAAGACCATCTCCAAATAACACATTGCCCTGGCTCTGATTCTAGATCACTCTCCTCCACCAACCCCAAGGGTCATGTAATATGGTGAAAAATATGGTGAATGAGTTGCATTTTTCATCCTTCAAGTAGGTTTGAAAATGTTAGACTACTATGGCATGTACCAGTCAATCATCATATGGTGATTTAACATGTCACTTGGGAATTCTACATCCATTTTACCAAGGCCCTGATCAGAATTTCAGTTACCACCTTATTAGATGGGTGCATCTCTACACAAATGATTGGCATGTAATAAATGCCAAATGGTAGCTGTGCATGGTTAAATGAGAACATATCCAAATTCATTTCAATAAATTTTTACTAAGGTGACTGATGTGAAAATGGTAGGGCACTGAATCCTCTCTGTGATCACATAATCTAGTAATTTGTAACAGCGATGTAGTTATTAGGAAAGAAAGTGATACTAAGTGGCAGTTGGGATGCAACAGAAGCAGAGGTTGGGGTCTCAGGAAGCAACCGCACTCTCTGTTGAATGAGCAATCCCAACTGGCATTATTGAGGGTCTCCAGGCTGGTTGCTGCAGGGTGTGGCTCAACTTTTGGTTTTGCCTTTTATTCATTGATGTTTCAGTCTCTCATCCTGAAATGTGATCTGTCTTTGTTCCCTGGGCTGCCACTGTCCAGCCCTTGCATGGGGAGAACAATTACTTGCTAAATAACTACATTGGGTTAGTTTTCTAGCTACTCCATGGTACCTTTGTGCTGTTATCATTTCGATGTTTATAATAGTTGTATGCCATAAATGTTCCAAACCATACAGAAGTAGGTAATACACAGTCTTTCTTCTGTCAGGCTGAGTCATGCTCGAGTTAGCCATTACTAACTTTTCCTTTTGGAAACTGCCTGAGCAGAGTGGATGTATGCTTTCATTGCATGTTTACCTCTTTAAAATATTTACCTCTTTAAAAACAGTGTACATGCATGGGAGTCATCTGTGATAATCTCCTTTGCCAAGCCATTTTTGGGGTCACCCTTTGCTATCATTGCATCTGCAGAGCTGTCTCTAAATTTAGAATGGCACTACTTGAGAAAAGAGTTCACTGCTCTGCACTCACAAGGGGCTGAGAATGTTTTGTTCTTTCCACATTTGTTGACATTAGGTATTCTTCCTATTTAAAAAAAAGAAGAACATAAATGTGCTTTACTTGTAATGATATTCTATGGTTTACATGGCATGTAATATATGTGTGTGTGTGTTTATGTGTGTGCTTGATATAGCAGAAGTTCATTTTTCATGATTCTGTATAATAGGATATCCAAGATAAATCAAGGTTTCAAAAGTTTGTGTGTGTAGTGGAGGCTCATTTCCTACTTCAAAGATGGTAATCTCTGTGTGTCCTCATGTAGTGCAGAGACAAGAACTTCTCTGGAAATTCTTACATGGATACTAATGCTGCCTGTGAGGAACCTGCTGTTCCACAAACATGTTTGTGTTACCCTTGTATTGGTATTAGATTTCAACACGTGAGTCATCATAGTCCATAATATTCAGGCCATCTCAACATTCTGTAACTCTTGTCACTACATCCAAGATTGGGGTATAAACCAAGTCACAGTAGCTGAGCTATCTAGTTAATCTCAAAAGACTTGTCTTTCTTCGTTTTTCAATTATCACAGCAAAATGAAACACTTGTTTGGAGCCAACATCTCTGGAAGAAAGAGATGTTCTGTATTAGTTTTCTTAACAAGCATTCCATGCATGGATAGCCAATTGAGGACAAGGGATCCTGTCTCAAGATGAGCTTCAAGCACTCTTACACTGAGACCTCTGTGTGAGTCAAAGCCATTTCTTATGTGTGACCATGGCTACTGAAATGGTAATTCTAAAGCACAGAGGAGTCTAATGACAAAAAGATCAATCGTTCCATCTCCCCAAATGCCTATTCTCACAGTTTTCCCAAGCTTGACCATGTTGTCATGTGGAACAAGTACATTTAATGAGTTGGCTTTTAAGTTCAAGATAGTTAACAGTTGTCACTATGAGTAATAAAAAGCATAGATAGTCTTCATTTCACTCACTAATAATATTTATGTCTTACAATGTGCCAGTTACTATTAGATGGTGGGTGTACATCCAAGAAAGGTGATAGTAACTATAGCTGATAAGTATTGAGCTCTTATTGTCTATATATTACCTCATACAATCCTTCAGATCAACTTTGTAATATTGAATCAAAGATAAAAGAACAGTATTTAGAGAGATAAGGATAATGTTAACAAGGATGAAAGCTGGATCACATAGTGCTTATGGACCATTTACTGTTATTTCCACATGAGACAGACAGAAGTCTATAACCTCAAAGAATTCATTCTCTGAAGTAAGGAACACATCTACCCTGAAACCAGTCACTTAAAAAATCTCAGAAGTGTGAAGGCCCCCAAAGAGCTCACTACCTTCCAGTTAATCTATGGCTAAGGCACACACTGTTTCTGCAAATCTCATGCTGAATGTGGGCTTCCTCTATCTCCAACAAGCCATTTTGTCTTGTCCCCCATGTCCTCCTGGCATCCCCAGTGTATACTGTGCCCCTCTATGCTTTGTCTGTATGCTCCCTCCCTTTCCTGCTCCCTTGGTCTCTCTCCCACCTAGATAATTATTAGGTTCTCAAATGTCACAGTGTAGCTTCAGAGGAGAACATGGGAGGAAAGAACATCTGACACAAGTGAAACGAGGTATTGACATAGGGCTGGGCTCATCTGGGGGGGGGTCTTTATGCTTTCTGGTGTTTAATGGACTTAAGAAAACCAGGGATCCACTGATTTCCCAATGTACTGGGCTCCTTCCTTCCTTCGTCCTGGCACTCCAGGCATGCAGAATTCCAAAAGCACATCCACACCACTCTGTTGTTGTTAATCTAATTTTTCCATGATTAACAACTTGGTTCATTATGTTTCCAGCTCACATTAATCATCTTTTCTGCAAGTTTGGTAACATTTGGAATCATTTCCCTATGAATTTCTCCATCTGGGATCTCTATAAAAGATGTGTTTGCACAAAGCTGTTTTGCTGCTCACTGCTGAGAATGAAGTTCTTATTGTGCCCTGAATCCTGAGAGGATACTTCTGAAGTCAACTGTGGTTCCTTCACCATTAATGGGCCCTTCAGTTGAGCTCCGTGTGGTTCCCAACATGGATCAGAGAGGTTTAGGCTACAACCTAATAGTAATGAAAGTCCCTAAAAGCAGTACTCTGTAGAGCCTGCCTGCACCTCTGGAGCAGATGGGAGTATAGGGAGCTGTGGAGGCATCGGAAATAGAGGAGAGATGGATGAGTCACAGCCAAAACCCTGGCAGGAGTCCTGACTTTACACCTACAAACTATTTGACCTTAGAGAAGACACATGCCTCACTAAGATCCATGCACTGCTCCTATGAGCCACTATCATAGAGTAGTTCTGAATGTTGGCTTGCATTCTCTCCTCTGCTCTCTGCTGTTGAGAACATTCTGCAATGTTTTAATGATACTCAATTATGCAATTCCTACACTTTCCAAACTAACAATGTCTATGTGTGCATGTGTATATATATATAACATATAATACATATAAGAAAGAAAAAAGCAACTATTGGGGAATTTCCATGGCTGCTTCTAACACTAACAATTGTGTATGTATCTGTGTGTTTTTTGCCCACACAATATACACACATGTATAACATATACATATGTATATGTATTCATATATGTATGTATAATACATATACATATGTATATGTATTCATACATATGTATAACATATTCATATACATATATCAACAATATGTATATGAATAATATATGTGGCATGTACATATCTGTAAATGTATTGGCAAACATCAGTAAAAGAACAAATAGCCTATTGTGGTTGTCTTAGAAGCCAGTATTTCTTAACTACCTTTTTTTATACAAAAAAAAAAAAAAAAAAAAAAAAGCAACGTGCCTTGTTTGAGCTGGGAAGAGGACATGTTGTTTAGGAAACAGACAGAGAATCCTTTGGGATGCAGTTGTGAGCATCCTCCCGGGTACTGTGTAGTCTCAGAGGCTAAGAAAGAAAGCAGTTCCTGTGGAGGCCCTTGCTGGTTTGCCCCCAGCACCATCATGAAGCTCAGAGGCATCCGTCCACTTAACTCAAATCAGATGTTTCTTTAGAGGCAATATTCTCCATTGAGTACTTTCTCAAAGCCCATGACAGACATTTTTGTCTATGATCATTAACCTTGAATTATAGGTAGTGGTTTTTGTTGCTGCCCAACAAAGGATTGAATTGCATAATGTCTGTGTTACTGTAGGAATGGTAAAAGACGTGATTCAATTTTATTGACATAGAAATATCCGGGAGTGGAGTAGAAGAGATGGGAAATGTTTGTTCTAATTCTGCCCTGACTGAAAACAAGGTGATGGGATGTGGAAATGTTGACCTCTGTTGAATCTCTTCCCAACACTGGGGATTTCAGCAGATTTCCATTACACAGGAAACCTCCAGTGGCCTTGACGGAAATTACCTGCCTAACTCACCTTCCTGCCCCTGTGGAAGGCCAGACACCTGAGGGCACATTTTAATTGCCATGTTCCTCTCTTTGCAAGTGAACTAATTGTATCTGCTTCCCTTTCTTTTAGGTTTCCAAGCAAGGACAGGAATAATGAAGACTGCGTGCTAGCTGTGTCCTTTTGAAGCACCCAGGAAATCCAGAGTGTGGTCAGAACTGTTGCACCACTCGGAGTAAATGAGGAATGGACTCGAGATTATGCTGAGATTCCAGAATGAATCTGGTCGACCTGTGGCTATCCCGTTCCCTCTCCATGTGTCTCCTCCTCCAAAGCTTTGTCCTGATGATCCTGTGCTTTCATTCTGCCAGTATGTGTCCCAAAGGCTGCCTTTGTTCTTCCTCTGGGGGTTTAAATGTCACCTGTAGCAATGCAAACCTCAAGGAAATACCCAGAGATCTCCCTCCTGAAACAGTTTTGCTGTATCTGGACTCCAATCAGATCACATCCATCCCCAATGAGATTTTTAAGGACCTCCATCAGCTGAGAGTTCTCAACCTGTCTAAAAACGGCATTGAGTTTATTGATGAGCATGCATTCAAAGGGGTAGCAGAAACCTTGCAGACCCTGGACCTGTCTGACAACAGGATTCAAAGTGTGCACAAAAATGCCTTCAACAATCTGAAGGCTAGGGCCAGAATCGCCAACAACCCCTGGCATTGTGACTGTACTCTCCAGCAAGTTCTGAGAAGCATGGCATCCAATCACGAGACAGCACACAATGTAATTTGCAAGACTTCAGTGTTGGATGAACATGCTGGAAGACCGTTCCTCAATGCTGCCAACGATGCGGACCTTTGTAACCTCCCTAAAAAGACCACTGACTATGCCATGCTCGTCACCATGTTTGGCTGGTTCACCATGGTGATCTCTTATGTGGTATATTATGTGAGGCAGAATCAGGAAGATGCCCGGAGACACCTTGAATACTTGAAATCCCTGCCAAGCAGGCAAAAGAAGGCAGATGAGCCTGATGACGTTAGCACTGTGGTATAATGACCACGTTGACTGGCACTGGGGAAGTAGCATCTGGTTGTAGTAGAGTAAGTGGTTCACTTTTCCCTCCATTGTACACGTTTAAAACTTTGTATTTTAGTTTCTTCAGGATCGTGGCACTGTTGAACTTTCCACAAACACTACCACACTAATAATTTTAGTTTAGGTGATCTCCCCCCATTAATTGTGCCCCTGGTTCCTGAGTAACAAACTCTCTGAACATTAGTTAGACCCATCTCACTATTTAATAATGAAATTTATTTTTTTAATTTAAAACTGAATAAAAGCTTAACTTTGAACCATGGAAAAGAGTGTGACTTATTGGTTAAGAAACAACACAGTCAATCCACTTATTTTAAAGAGAAAAGGGAAATCCTGCTACTCTAAAGGACTCTTATATTGAAAGGTAAATCATTACAAGCCCCGTGGCACCCTGGGGATGCAGAGCTGAATTATTGACAGGTCCAGTGTCTGCCAGACTTTAGCTAGCCAAGATGATTATACAAATGTGCTTCCTCCACACTAGCTATGTGAGGAAACCCACTGACTAGCATCTAATTTTCAAAATGAGTAGGTTTAGCAATAAAAAAATAAATTCTTAGCAATAAAAAACAAATAATCTGTGCTGGATGTAATGGGAAAGTAAAAAAAAAAAAATGGCATGTATCTTATCCTCAGGATTGCCTTATGGTGGGCAGGAATGTGTGGTGAGTATAGAAATAGCTATGCTAGGAAAGGGAGAGAGCACCCACCCTGTGGGAGCACTGTGTGGGGATGATAACACCACTAATGTCCCTAAACTCTCTCACCAGCAGAGGAGAAAGTGACCATCAACCTGTACATATAAAGCAGAGGTCCAGAACCCTGCCAGGTAGAGAGTATTAGAGTTTAAATTTGAACCAGGTCTTTTCTGAATAAAAGTCTTCCAGTCGATAGTCCTTCTACATTGGTTTAAAAACAGAATTCACATGGTAAAAAAGCACTAGCATGAAGTTTCATGAGTTTTGTTATTGCATACAGTCTGCCTTACAAAGGAAATGTCATGTCCCAACATGACATCAGGAATACTGGAAGCACATCTGGCTTCTGGAATGGGCCTGATGGTTTGCTTGTTTGTTTTAGGATGAATGTGACCAAGTAAGCATGAAGGACCAAAGCTAGGGGCACATAAGAACAAGGGTGGGGAGCCATTCCCAGTGAAGGAATCTATGTAGAGAGTGAGATATAAGTCCAAAGCCTCTAGTGACTTTAAACTGGAGAACAGTCATAGTCTATCACACACCATTTGTGAAAGGAACATTTATTTGCTCCAAATCCATATCTAAGTCATCTTAATTAATGCTAACAAGATCCTATGAGATGGTTTAGTTATAAAATAGATTCAGGACCCCAGCACTTGTAAGAAGCATGGCTTATGCACCAACATTAAATTTAAAGTTTTGAAATTGTATGCCCCTGCTCAGGACACATATAGTAACACCCATAGTTTCTGGACCACTCCTGTTCTGCCATTCTGTCATAGGCTCGGCTTGCTACACAAGATGGCCAGTTCCTCGGCCACATGGTTTTCAAATACCTACATGACAATTTCATGTAAAAGCAGAAGGAAATTGCTCTGTATAAGGCCCATGTAGGAAAGAGTGTTACCGTGTAGGAAAGAGAGACAGATGGTGTTGTCCAGCCCACATGAGATTGTCTTCAGGGTGCCAAAACTCACAATTCTACCCCCAAAAAGCCCTGGAGCTCTAACTACAACCACAATCTGCTGAAAGGATTGCTGAAGAAATCAGGAAGATACACAGAGTGTTGGCCATTGTGTACTCACCGCCACTTTAACCATTCTGAGATGTATTAGTCTACCCCAAAATTCCGAAATAACTCTCAGATGTGAAATCTGTGTTAGGGCCTAGAACTTCTGCACACAGGAGACTAAATGTTCTTGAATCTCAGTGGGAGAACTAGCCAGAAGAGTCAGAACTGTGTCAAAGGGATAGCGCCCCCTGGAGGACAGTGCCATAATATACTGCAAGTACTACATAGGAAAACTGCCATGGACAAAAGTTTAGCTTTAGGAGTCTTTTGAAAATTAAGCAAAGAGTGTTTATTTGAATGTATGAGTCATATTCATTTTGGAAAATCTTCCACAAATGTATTAGATAATCCATTCCAGGTGATGACTCCCTCCAAGATCATCTTTATGTCCTTAGTAATAAAAGCTTATTTTCCTCCTGGCTAATCCATTAATCCAATGAATGTTTTCATAGATGGAATGTCTCTGAGGATTTGGTGAGAAGAGTCATAGCCTTGATCTGATGGAAAACAGTTAAATACCCACGCACCTGGCTGCAGTTCTCTATGTAGAGCTGAGTGATGTGCCGCAAGTTACAGTTCCCTCATTCCGTCTGTAGAATATCAGGTTACTGCATCTTCAGTGCTTCAAAAAGCCAAACATTAATTGAATGGAAGTTTATTAGATAATAAGAAGCAAATAAAAATAATTAAAGTAGCAAATTAGCATGTCTATTTGTGACCTGAACAGAAGGGAAATGATCTTATTGCCATCATGTGAGAATGTCTACCCAAGAGGCTAACAGTATGCGGAGTTGATGAGTAGAGGAACCTGTTAATGGAGAGCCTGCAGTCTTGATTGTAGATTGATGCCTCATTTCCCAGCCCTCTGTGGGAGTTTCTGTTCATGGTGACCCATGGGAAGACTTGGAATTAAGCACCACCTATTATCCTTGGCACACAATACTTTAAGTGGTAGTACCTTTTCTCAGACCATGTTTGCTCTCAACCTCCACCTTTCAGATTAAAAAGAATGCCCCCGGGGAATTTTAATCTAATCTTTGACAATGTGCTTATCTCTGAAGCAGAGCAAACCATAAAACATGCCAACTCATCTAGAACACATTTAAAAGTGATAAAACTTACATAATGGAAGATTGAACTTCCAATAACACTTGCACAAATTGTAGTCACTGCTGTACGGTGAGCAGTTTGAGCACTGTCCTTTTTCTTGTCTGTCCCGGATTCCCCGCAGTAATTCTTGCTTTGATATCACCAAGTATACAGTAGTCTGTGGTGTCATGAGGTTTCCATATTGACTCAAGTCTTTCACACAGTTAGTTCTCTCAGTTTGCTGGCAGAGAGATGCAATGGAAAATTTTGCTTATCACTGCTCAGTTCCTGAAGGCTGACACATTCCTACAGTGTCAGAGTCCTTGGAATAGTCTCATCTACCCACTTCACAGGTGCAGACACTGAAATGCTTGGTGCTTTGGGGATATGCCTCTGTCTCTGTTTTCCCGTAGAACACACTAACTGCCTTCCTAATGAGTTCTTTCAAGATGATCAAAGACAGGTCGTGAACACCATAACAACATGCACAGGAAAAATGTCACTGCATACTAGCAAATGTCTTTGAGGGTTCCTACTTTACTGTGGAGCCAGACTACCCATGATTCTGCAGTTTTAATTGTTCCTTCAAGATCAGGTGGCAGGATCTGCTTGCCTTTACAAGTAGCCCAGAATAACGTTTTTAAATGTGTGTTTGACCTGGCCTCCCAAATGGGGAAATGATGTTGGTACAATGGCCCTGAAAGAGAGAAAGGGATCACATTAATTTCCTTGAGCAAAACCATAAGTGATCAAGTTCAACCAAGCTGTCAAGACAAGGCTGCCCTTCTTCAATGCCCTTCTCCATTTCAGGCCTCTTGTCTGGCAGGATTCCCAAAGTGGTGTCACTGATTCATTCAGTTGCCTAGTTCTGTCCCAGGAAATAGAAACAAGAAGCCTGTTGGTCACTTTTGGCTTTGGTTTTTGGTTTTGTCAACTTGTAAACTAGGCTCATCTGAGAGGAGGGAACTTCAACTGAGAACATACCACCATTAGATTAGCCTGTGAGCAAGTCTTTGGAGCAATCTCTGGATGAATGATTGATGCCCACTACTGCGGGAAGGGCCATCCCTGGGCAGGTGATCCTGGGTTGTATAAGAAATCAGGATGCTGTAAGGCATCACCCTCCCTGTGTAGTGGGGGGGATTAGATGGGGGGTGGTCGGGAGGCATAGGAGGGAGGGGGAGAGTGAGGGAGAGGGAACTGGGATCGATATATAAAATAAATAAATAAATAAATAAATAAATAATAATAAAAATCAGGCTCTGAGGATCAAGTTGGTAAGTAGCACTCCTCCTGTTTTCTTCAGTTACTGCCTCCAGGTCCTTGCTTGAACTCCTGCCCTGACTTACCTCAGTGATGCAATATAATATAGGATGCAGCAGCCATTAAACCCTGTCTTCCCCAAGTTCCTTCTGCTCATGTTGTTTTGGCAATAGAAAGCAAACTAACACAGTGAGCAAGCTCAATTTCCACACAAGAGGAAATCTACATTACAAACCAGAGCAGGAAAGAAAGACCTGCCTGCGTTCTGCATAGTGCATTTGCCCTCTCACATGTTGGTTCAGAATATACCCAAAGACCCAGTCAGGGCCCAAGAAAATTTTCACTCATCTCAAGAAAATGATTAATTTGAGTCTTTTGAGTCTACTAAGTGGACAGAGAGTCCCATGGTTTCCTGAGTTGTGACAGTAAAAAGAAACATAATTAACATGCATTCATGGAACTATCTATATATCTATGTATTCACCCACCCATCCATCCATCCATCCATCCATCCATCCATCCATCCATCCATCCATCCATCTATCTATCTATATATCATCTATCTATGTCTATCTGTCTATGTATTCATCTATCTGTCTATCCACCAATCTATCATCTATCCATCTATCATTTATCCATCCATCCATCCATTTCTCTATCTGTTTATCTATCCATTTGTCTGTCTGTCCATCCATCAGCACACCCATCATCTATCCATCTATCTATCATCTATTCATCCATCAATCTATCGATCCATCCATCCCTCTATTTCTGCTTTCTCTCTCTCCCTCCTTTTTTCCCTCCCTCCCTCACCCCTCCCTCCATATTTCTATGACACAAATGAGTTTGAAAAGTTAGGGAAAGAATGGATAAGATTCTGAAGAAGACTCACCTTTAACAGTAACTCTGCCAAGAGAAGGTCTGAGTTACTTAAGATCAGGGGAAATTTGTAAAAGTATTTTTAAAGCTGCCCCCAAGTTCACTGCAAACAGTGAGTTAATCAACTTTGTGAACTATATTTCTTCCAAGTTTGGCAAGTGTTCTGCAACTTACTATTAGAAGAAGAAAGTTGATTTTGTTTGTTTGTTTGTTTGTTTTCTTGTACATACACAGACATGTAAATGGCAGACAGTCT